CGCGAGTCGCAGAAACACGTCCGAGGCACAGAGCTGATGAACCAGGGTACCTTCAGCAACCTGCTTCTTACTTCTTTCTGCCAGCAGCGTCTGTGTCAGCCAATCACCTGAAAGCCAAGAACCATAGCCCGGGTTTCCAAAATGGAGACCCCTAACTTAGAGTGACGGGTTTCCCCACCCCGAAAAGGGGGTGCTTAGAATGACGTCCCCGCTGGACATCGCTGGACTGGTTCTAGGTTATTGCTTCTGTTCAAAAACGCCACATACTTTTACACTAAAAACATCTAAAAACGACCGACCGCATAATGAGATGTCGTGGGAGCCTTTGTGATCCCATTGCTTTCATTTCCTTTAATATCTACATTCATAATCCTTTCACTGTGCATTCATATTCCCTACGTTTTGCATTCATTTCCTTTCATGCTCTTTTCATTTGCATTCATTTCCTTCACTTTCTTTTCAATGTCTTTTTATCTTCCTTTCACTTTGCATTCCTGTTTTCTCATTTTGCATTCATTTCCTTTCATATTCCTTTCATTTTGCATTCATTTCCTTTCATGTTATGTTCATTTCCTGTCATTTTGCATTCATTTCTTACGACATTTCTTTCATTTTGCATGTATTTCCATGCAACATGTTGCCTGAAACTTTTGACAACACATTTTGGCCCGCCATTCTAAGTTTGTGACATTTTTGCAATGTCTGCAGGATTCTGGGTTTTTTTGCCGCCTGCGGGCCCGACTTCTAAATTCTAACCTGCTTGAATTACAGTGAACCCTCGCGGCAAAAAGTGAAAATCGCATGTTGCGAATGATTTTCCAACATGTCATTCTAAGTTTCAGTCCGGCGGCAAATATATATAATTTTACCGCCGGACTGAAACTTAGAAACTTTCATGTTTCTTCCATGTTTCTCTCATTTTGCATTCATTCTCATCTCATTTTGCATTCATTTCCTTTCATAGTCCTGTCATTTTGCGCTCATTCCCTGCCAATTTCCCTTCCTTTTGCATTCATTTCCTTTCATATTCCTTTCGCTTTCCTATTCATGTCCTTTCATATACCTTTCACTTTGCATTCATTTCCTGTAATTTTGCATTCGTTGTGCATTCAATTCCTTTTATGTTCCATTCACTTTGCAATCATTTCTGCCCATTTTGTCTTCACTTCTTGTGATTTTCCCGTCATTCTGCATTCAATTCTTTCATGTTGCAGTCATTTCCTTTCATGTTGTGTTCATTTGCTGTCATGTTGCATTCATTTCTTATCACATTTCTTTCATTTTTGCGTGTATGTCCATTCAACATGTTGCCTGAAACTTTCGACAACACATTATGGTGATGAACAACAACACACGCGCGGCCGTCATTGTAAGTGCGTTAAATCCTGGGACTCAAACTGTGTAGGTTTGGGGGTTTTGAAACATCTCGCGGGCCGACTTCGAAGTTCTAACCTGTTTCAATTTCAGTGAACCCTCGCGGCAAAAAGTGAAAATTGAATATTTAATATTTTTGAGTTTTGCTGTGCGGTCCGCGAGATCTTTTTGCGTCTGCGAACAAAGTTCCAAACTTGCATTCTAAGTTCCAGTCCAGTGGTATAACAAGAAATGGGGTGAGCACAGCAACAGAGCTACATAAAGCGCTGCTTTTAGCAACATCCATGCTGGATGCATCAACATCCAACCAAATCTATGAAAGTCAAAAAGGAAACAGCCCAGTGTACTCGTCGAAACACATTTCGGCATTGAAGCCAGCTCTTCCTCGCTGCCATCCGCGCCGTGTATTGCTGCTGTCGAAGAAGAAGTGTTTCTGCTATCAGTCTGCGCAGGCTACAAAGGTGGACAGCAGAACGCTACACAACCAGAGGCATCTTAAGATAGAAGCATAAACAGGCTGTCTGTCTGTAAATATCTGCAGTGTGCCTTCCAGGATCTATTTCAAATCCAGCGGTCTGGTACCACTCACAGATAAGTCTGTCGTCCTGGGCTACAACAAGGAAGAGGCAGCAAGGATATGCGCTGACTTGGAACTCAACACTAACCCAACATCGTCCTTCGAGCGTGTAGTCATGAAGTTACTAAAGTATTGCATGCTTCTGCAATTCCCATGAATCAATGGGGACAAAAATGAGCATGACTTCAGGCAAGCAACTTTGCCTAATGAGCCGGTGCTGATGGCCAGAGAACGACACGCAACCCGATGGGTTGAACTGGCTGTAGCATCAAGAGAGCCCAAGGCTTCAGCACGGGACGCCAGACTGCTTCTGGGGTACGGCATGGCTGAGACTGTGGTATGTTTTGAAGGTAGGTATGCTAGACTGTGGTATGTTTTGACGGCGAGACTTGCACATGTCAATGCAAAAGTAGACTCTCCAGATTTGAAGATGACGTTCATTCACTTGGAATTCATTTGACTTCTTCAGGTCGGATTTGTGCGAGGAAGCCCAACGAACAACCCCTGCCGTTGGGCTTCCCCAGGCTGCTTGTATTGTAGGGTCGGCATGCTGCAAAAGGGTACGTTCAAGTTGCTGCTGCCCCAGGCTAATCCAGAAAGTGAAACCCCTAGACTGCAAGTTAAACAGTAGCGCTGCTACCATGCCCAACGGATAACCCCAACCGTTGAGCTCGAGCAAGAAACAGGGAAGATGCGTGGGCTTTGGAAGGAAAAACACTCTGAAAATTCCTTTCTATCATGCAGCACAGTTATGTCAGTTATGTCTGTTGACATTGCACCTCACAGGTTGTTAGTTTGGAATCTTAGCACCTGCAGTGAGAGGCTTGGCGCATGTCTGGGCGCGATTTTGCGAGAAAGATCACCATAATATTGGCACTAAGGAATCACACAACCATTAATAGTAGCATTGTACCATGCCAATGACCACAATGACAACAAAGATGACAGCAACGACACCAGAAGCATAATACTAACACCAAACTCACGTTACCTTTGGCTGCCAGAAGCCGCGGCACTTGACCTGAAAGCTAGTTCACATCCATTTCAGTCTGGTACATATTGATATATACACATGAGACAACCGTTAAATGGTTTAACAATCAGCCTCCATTATATCACCATTAACCATATTTTAACCTTTATGTTTATAGTATATGCTGCATATGTGTCGGATACTCGTCTTCACCACCAGTCTCTTCTTCGGAAACTTCCTCTGAGAGAAGGTAATTTGCGCCTGGGGAGAGCACCGGGATATCTGAGTGCATCCAATACACCTCGGATAGCAGGCATGGAAGCTGAAGATGACCATATCCAATGGCCAAATCATAATGTGGACAGCATGTTTCAAATTCTACAGTATGTATGAAAAAACCTGGCGTAGATAAATGAAGGAACAACTGATGGGTGCTAATCAAAATTTGTTGAATATACACAAGGTCTTCTTGCTGATGGCCACATCGATTGATGAATAATTGATTTGGAATCGCCCGCAAAAACAAACAATCCCGGGTTAGTTACCTTGAACAGCCATGCGTAAGCCTTAACGATCATAAATCGCACCCATCCAAATGTATGTTCGCATGGAAGTTGATCTTGAGAACAGGCGCAACACGTCAGAGCAGCTGCATTTTCCTGATAAGGTCCATTGCTGCCTCTGCTCTGGGTTCTACTGATACTGGCTTCTTGTCTTGATGACAGCCATCCATGCCTGCCTGCATCTGTCTTTCCGCCACTGACATCTGATCATCATCCACGAGTTTCTTCAGGGATTTGCCAAGGCCCTGTTTGTGAGCCTCTGCCACGGTCACCTGCAACTTCTCTAGCGATGACACTGCTGAGAAGAGGACCTGGAAGTTCTTGTCATTGGCGAGCTGAAGCGCAATTTCCTGCAGCCTAGCGTCCCGATCTGAAGGGGTGGGATCACTGCGGGCTTTCTTTGGTGTTGCAAGGCTCTCAGATGCCTGTCGCTTCTTCTCAGAAGCGCGCTTCTTCTTGTCGTCGGCTCGCTTCACAAGCTCATCCAAAGTAGTCCAGGCTGATCCTGATGGCACCGCTATTTTTTGGCCCAGGTTGGAGACCACGCTTTGGTTCCTGTGGTGTCTTCTTACACAAGCTCTTCAGCTCGGTTGCATTCACCTCTGGGTCGTTCAGCAAAACTCTAACATAAGCCTCAAGGCTGCATTGCCCAAAATGGAAAACCACATGCATGTGCATCCGCATCTGCCAGTGAAATCCTTCTCATTTCCCTTGGCAGCTGGTGGCAAAACCATGACACCGGCGATGGAGGTCAAGAACTCAATGAACTTGGAAAGAGAAAGTCGACCAGCTGGCGATCCTTCATATGGGTTGTGCCAACAATGCAGTCGCCGCAAGGTGGCTTGCAGGGCGATCTGATCCGGAGCTGTGAGAAGAGCCGGCATAAGTTGATGCATGTTCTCGTCAATCATTAGAGCAGCATCCACGCAGCCCACTGTGTACAGCTTCTCTGCCTGACCCCAATGGTGTACATCGGAACTCTGCACATTGCCTGGGGCTGCCTGCATCTAAGCATCAGCGCTCACCAACCTGAGCTGCCCACCGTCTTCTGCTGACCGGGTGGACGCCACTGCAGCTCCTGACAATGTCCTTTTGAAGAGAGAGAATTGCACATTGGGAATGGTTGTTCGCGTGGAACATGACACCATAAGCTCCTTGCAATTTCTCCGCGGCAACTCCGAGGTCCATCGTGTGCACATTGGGCGGCAAGCATCTCTTGAGTCTCCTGCAAGATCGCATCCACCCTTAAGAAAGATTCACTGGTTCACACCAAAACATCCTGATAAATATTTTTGACGTTGCGGGAAAAAACAAAGGAAAGCATCGGTGGACCGTTGTCCTCCAGAAAGCTTCAAGGGCTTGACTCACGCTGGCAGCAGTGAATCCCGGGCGCGACTGAAAGCCTTTCGCTGTCCTGTCAGAGGATGGCTGGCAATACCATTCTGCTGTCCATAACCCAGCACTGTCCTGCATCAAGACTTCTTTCAGACAGTACTCGTGTAAGGTCTTGTCCCCCATTTCGATCAAGCGGCACAGCAATGATTGCCAGATCTCGTGGAAGATCAAAGGCGTAAAGCTGCTTGCAGAGAAGGAAATGATACGAGCCACCAACCTGAGGCAGCCATAAAGGACGGCACAGACGGAAGAGATATCGTGGTTAGAAGCAAACGAAGAGATGGATTCTCATCATGTTCTTGTCGGATGGTTTGAATTGTTCGCTACACCCTTGTTTCTTACGCGGGCGACCCGCAAAAATCACAATGTGTGAGAAGAATCGCCCTAACCTGAAAGTCCTTAATTTTTGTCCTTTGCGAATCGAGCAAGGCAATCCAGGGTCTGAACTAATTTTTGGACCTTTCCATATGGCATAGGATGATGGTGAGCCTGTTTGGTCCTGAGCTTAGAAATGGCAAGAAACGTCTTCATGTCCTTGTTTGCGCCCTTCACGCGCTTCACCGCGTCAACTTGGTGTCGCATGCATCGTCGAAACCTTGTGAACGGCAGCAGCTTCTTCACCGCGCTCCTCCCAGCTGCCAGGTTGTCCCAATGGAAATGATGCAAGGCCTCTTCCAAAGGAACGCCCGCCTTCTGGTATTCCGCGATGATCCTTGGCTCAAATGCAAGAGGCCGAACGAAACGAGACGACGGATGGCCCGAGAGCGTACAGAAGCATGTTACTCAGTTGTTAGGCAAAGGAAGTTTAAGGAAGAAACGTCCATGTTACGGACTTTTAGAAATGTTCAAATAGAGTTGAGTTGAGTTGAGTAGAGTAGAGTAGAGTAGACAGATGGGTAGATAGGTTTTAGGTGGATGTAGAGAGGCAATGGATAGGTACAGGAAAGTAGATACATAGATAAACCGATGAGCAAATCGCTGAACAGACATGGCAGTTCCTAACTGGTTTTCGGAACATCAGCGAATCATCATGCCATTTTCATTGCTCACCATCTTATAGGTCTTATTCCTTTTGGAAACTTCCGCCGCCGGCTTGCCCGGGAACTACTTGTATCAAGAGAATGTAACGAGTACATGAAAGATGTTTTGTAGGCAAAAGAATGGCATGATTCAGATGATCAGCAGAAAGCAGATAGAGATGCTATGTCAGATTCCAAGCAGATGCGGCTAAAGAAAGGGGAGAGACATGCTACGTCAGATTCTAGGCAGACATTTTTGCACACAGAGACTTTTACACACAGACGCCTTTACACACAGACGCTTTTACACGCAGAAGATTTTACACACAGACGCTTTTACACACAGACGCTTTCACACACAGACACCTTTATACACACAAGTTTTTACACACAGACTCTTTTACACACAAACGCTTTTACACACAGGCGATTGCACACACAGACGATGTCACACACAGAGACTTTAAAACACAAACACTTTGACACACAGACGCTTTTACACACAGACGCTTTTACACACAGACACGTTTACACACAAACACTTGTACACACAGACGCTTTTACACAAACGCTTTTTACACACAGAACCTTTTAAACGTACGCTTGTTCCCCAGGAACGCTCACAAATCACAACTTGTCCCCAGTTTTTGACACTTGACCTTCATATCGTGCGAAAGGGTTGCGCTTGACACTCAAAAATCGCAACTTTTCCCCACTTTTTGACACTTGACTTTCATTTCGTGCGAAAGGGTTGCACGAGCAAAGTCCCAATCGCAACTTTACCACACGTGTGGACATCAAAACGTATGAATCTCAGGTGTCGGCCGCGGATCCCATGTTGTCATACAAAAAGTATCATTTTATCTCTGTTTTTGTTGACCGAACCTCGTTTCATGCGACAGGGTTGCAACGTGCAACCACGAAATCGCAATTGTACCTCAGTTTTTGACGATCGAACCTCGTTTCGTGCGAAAGGGTTGCAACGTGCAACCACGAAATCGCAATTTTACCTCAGCTTTTGACGATCGAACCCCGTTTCGTCCGAGAGGGTGGCCATATCGTGGCGCATCGTCTGGCCTGCGCCGGCGCCTGAAGAGAGAAATAGGAAGAAGGCAAGCGAGAGAGAGAGAGAGAAAGAAAGAAAGAAAGAAAGAAAGAGAGAGAGAGAGAGAGAAAGAGAGAGAGAGAAAGAGAGAGAAAGAGAGAGAAAGAGAGAGAGAGAGAGAGACAGAGAGAGAGAGAGACAGAGAGAGAGAGAGAGAGAGACAGAGAAGATGTGAAGATGTGAAGATGTGCAGATGTGCAGATGCCTAGATTCCTAGATGTGAAGATGAGGAGATGTGCAAATGTGAAGATGTGCCAATGTGAAGATGAGAAGATGAGAAGATGTGAAGATGAGAAGATGTGAAGAGGAGAAGATGTATAACAGACCTAACCATTAGAAGAACCCTGCGCTGCGCCCGGGCGCTGTCGGGAAAAAGCTCTATAAAATGCAAGAGTCCGAACAATGCAGGTTTCCGAACAAAGGCTTCAAGAAAAAGTGTAGCATCTATCCCCTTTGTGATGCGCGCAAAGCTAACGCGCTAAGGCAGAGCACGCATGAATTACAAACAAGAAAGGCGTCGTCCACACTGCTTTGCATATATATGACCTTTGTCAGCTCACTCGCAGCCGGCCAAGCGGCGCTTTCACAACGGCATGGATCACAGCCTCATTGTGGTCGTTAGGGACCCAAGCCAGGGCCATTGGTAGAACGGTGGTTCTCCACAAGCCGTTGTGCTGGTGCTTCGCGACCACAGCCAAAGCGAACAGCGGCCACTGGGCTTGATTGACCTTATAGGTTGCATCGGCTACAGCGTACATCTCCAACTTGTTTGCCTTATAGAGACTGCAGACCTCCTGCTTCATGTTGTCAGAGATCATGATCGTGAGTCCTGGATGATTCGTAGCATCTACTTCTCGGCATCGAAGTTGAAAGCTGTCTTCTGGGCAATGTTGGTGCTGCGCCAACCTCACGAGTGTGGAAGACCATGGTGCGCTTTGGGGTTGATTAACTTTGTCGGATGTCAAACTAGTCATGGGTCATACACAATCAAACAGTCTTGAACGTTTCGAGTCTCATTGCCCACGGGGGAACCTGATTACCATCCCCATTTGCAACTGTGCTCGCTGACAAGAACATGTCGAATCTCCTGCCGACAAGACTCCAAGTCCGCCATGTGGCCAATGTAGCACAAGGGCCCTGCGCTCCGCTGCCTGCAGTCTGCCGCAATCGGCGCCTCCGCGCGCCCTGCAAAGACCCATATGAAGGCATCTGCTCTGGAGCTACGCCGGCTGCAAAAAGCCCCGCCATTGCTCTCATCGGCGTCTCATGGGCCTGGTCCTTGGCAAGCTGTCGCGAGGGGTTGCGTCCATCTCCTTGACTGTGCTCCCCCTTGGTTTCCGCCAGCAGCATCATTTCTGAAGTGAGTTGAAGTCGCCAGACCTGACAGGAAACATTGGCGCGAAGCATCTTGTGAGCAAAGTCTGGCTATTTACCATGTACTGACACCGGGTTGATGCTTCTGCTTAAACCATGCAATCGTTTTATGGTGCCACTGAGTCGGCTGGTGTTTGAAGGGAACATCCCAAGTACAATTAGCCTGTCACAAAACTTAAGAATTCAAATAGCCTCTATAGACCTCCCCAGCTGCCTTCTTACATTTGCGGTGACATGCGGTGACCATCGCTCGCAATGCAACCATACCTTGGCGTTATTCACTTGGACCTTGACTTTGGAGATCTGATGGGCATCGGCCCAGGCATAAGCGAACCGCCTGATACCATCACACGTCTGCCACTGCTCAAGTGTGGCTGGGGATAGCCTCTCCTGCCCCAAACTATCCCAGGCACGTGACATGGCGGCCAACGCCAATGGCTAGGGAAAAAGGATGCATAAATGGCTACCATAATCTTGTACACATCCATCCACAAGGCCTTGCGCAAGAGTTGTCCCACAAAACCTTCTGAGAGCTGCAATCATCCAAAAAGCCCTTTGGTGGGCCAAGATCCATAAGAAATCCAAGAGCTCATTCAGGCAAACACAACCCCTCAGTGCAACGCGCCATCCCCTTTTATCAGTTGACGACTGCCACATGGCTCAAATCGCTTGGCTGGCTGGCACGGATGGCAGAGGGTGTTTCGACCCCCAAAATCTGCCAGAAGCACAATGACTTCTGCACTGCCGCCAATTCTGCAGGCTCTCTTTTGAAAGGCGGCCTAACTGGTTCCACACGCACTGTAGGTGCAAGAAGCACTTCACTGAGCAGAATGCGGAGGAGAAGTGATCTCGGCAGCACCAGTGGCGCGGCGTGCTTGAATCTCCAACACTCGAGGCCTGACATTGATGGCTGCATAGAAGATTATCTCAAGGGGGCGGCAATCACAAGTCTCACTCAAAGGCGCCACCGCATGAGCAATGGTCTCTAAGGACCAATCCCACGCATTGCGCTCATGGCCACCATGCGATGAGCTGCCCATGGAACAAAATACACCATGCGCTTCAGGTGAATGTCAGTGTGACTTGTCGATGTCTCCTGGTCAAAGCCGACATGCCGGGATGAGGTTGCACGTTGCACCTGCAAGTGCATCACATACGACCCCTCACATGCACCTAATCTAACAACCGATCCGTAAACCATCTTCTATTGCACACCTATATAGGTGGAGTCAAAGTACCACATGCCAATTCCGCAAGTCTACTTGGACCACGTTTCGACTGATTTCGGAAAACATTTGGTGGTTCCAAAATCTTCCGCCTATGCAGTTGTAACCACGGTCCTGTGAAGCTCAAGCTGCAAGCTGTGTGTGGGTCATGATAGATCCTTCAGTGACTTCACCATCCCTCAACGTGGCATAGTTAGCCATGATATATAGAAACAGTTGGGATGTAAACCAACCAAAAATAAAGGATCTGTTAACTGCTGGATCTCGCATTGCTCATCTATCATGCCATTACTTGGCCATTAGCATACCAGGATGATACTACTGTCTAAGCCATTAATTGCCATCAATCAATCATCATCCTGTCCCCCTTCACGCTAGAAGCCTTCTGGTAAATAGCAAGCTCGGGCACCGATTGAGCCACGCGTAAATCTGCTGCACCAAAACCGTGCAAGCTGGTCAATGGATGGCCATGACTCAATGGACTGCTCGGACTGATGATTTATGCGCGTCTACCTATAATAACTCGACAACATTATTTGGATTATCTAACCTGCTCGGTCCAAGCCAGTCCACCAGATTTTGCACCTGAATTATCCACCAAATATCTGTAAATCCGCACCACTCGTCCGCAGAGCATAACATGATCTGGCTAATTGAGAAATTGTTGATTAGATGGTGGCGTTCAACGGCCAAGCACACGCCAGCCTATGCATTATCCATGTAAAATTGCTGAAAAAAACGGTCATTTCGATTCACCATGATTGGCCAGGAGACCTCCGTGCGTATGACAGAGACCATCCCGACCATCCCGGACAAGCGCCGATGCTGATTCGGCCAATTAGATTCTGATTCCTCATGCAAATCCCCGCTGGATGAGGCTGAAATCGTCCTTGGGAAATGTCAAAAGAGGGAAAATGGGGAGTCTGTGACAGCCATGGATGCCCTTTCCCACTGGTTGGTCTATTAATTAATAAAAGGGTTCCCCCTGTTCAACAACCAATATGTAGAGGATGATAAATCATATACCAAACCGGCCCGATGTATTGTTGCCTAAAGGGACAATATTAGTGAGCATACCATGTTCAGATTGGTTGGTTTGTATCCGTACCATATTTATTGGTCGAATCACAACTCTTGCCAAAGAAGTCTATGGCCGTTCCCTTTATAGTAAGAATAATATTAGTACTTCCAAAATATTATTGGTTCCCTAATATTATTCTTACTATAAAGGGAACCACCAAAATATTAGGCAACCCTTCACATCCAAAAATGCTTTGTACATGACCCTCACGCACCACAAAACCCATCAAAAATGCGGCCAAAGAAAACCTAAAATATGGTGTGTCTCTGTTAAATGTTGTATGTATATATATATATATATATTATATACAGTAATTGTAGAACTATATAATAAAACTTGGTATGGCCAACAGTATGTCCCCAAATCTTAAAAAACAACATGAAATTCCAGGCGTCTTCCTCAGTGTAACCGTCAGGGAAGAGGCCAAACATACACCAGGCGTTGCAGACCTGGGTCAAGAACTTCACAGGGAAAACCATGGGCATTTTCACCAAACAAAAATTGAATCGTAAATTGTTGGTTTATGGTTGGTGAAAACATAAACCAAAGTTCTTATGTTGTTGTCACCAACCAATATACTAAGAATTTGGTTTGTGGTATTACTGCTTTAACCATGAGAAATTGTAGATATCTCTATATAGTTGACCAAATAAAGAATGGAGACGATATACTAGCAAAATTGAAAATTGGCACATGGCACCAACACTAGTGGAGTTTTGGATACTGCCATGTCGCCCTACCGAAAAGCATTCCGGTTTTCACACACCCATGCATTGCTTCTGGTTGGCGAAGCACTACACTACTGAAACTCAACATAGCTCGAGAGATTCATTTTTTGAATTTAGTTCTATTCCTGGGAATTACAGGAGGGACTCCAAACCCGCTGCATTCGTTGCATGTTCAAATGTCTAGTGAAGAGTGAAAAGCAAAAGTGGAAAAATTGTGAAACATGTGTAAATCATGTGGAGGAAATGTTTAAAAATGCTAAAAGCTCAAGGTGTTTGCACTTTGTTCAAACTGTTCTTATACATGTTCCATTTTCACGTGTTTTCTAATTGTTCACATCCTCGAGAGTGCTGCCACGAAGTGTAAAAGTTGGTAAGATCCAATTATAAGTGTAAAACAAGTGCAAAGTCTACTTGCATCATAAAGTGCAACAAAAGTGCACATTTGCTGTTTGATTTCCAGCTGATGCAACGAATTTGGCATGTCCATTTAATCTCTGGTACTGGTCATGGGACATGAGAATCGATCCTCCCATTTCAAGCGATGGCAAAGTGGTTGTTTCCCCCGTCTGTTTTCAACCATCGTTGATCTGGGTCAACACATCGTACATATCATGCACATCACCATCACCACCATCACCACCACCATCATCATCAGCAGCAGAAGGAGCATCCAGCATCCATCATCCATCATTTGTCGCGTCAACAAAGTTCCAGACTTGGCTATTTTTTTCCCGGAATGCAAAAGAATTGCTCACCACTTCGGTTTGTTGGAAACTATAGTAGCCCCAATTCCAATGGTTCATCATCCTTCTCCCCATGTAAGTCATGAATTCTAGTCTACCCCATCAATTTTCTCGTGAAATATCCTGATGAAATGTACCAACCATGTGGATTTCTTAAGGTTTAAATGTTGGAAATCCCCACAAATTTCATGGAGATAAACCAGGTTTTTTACCCACTTTTGGATGGTTGAATCCCATGAAATTCCCCCATTTTGGATCGCAAAAATCCCAAATCCTATGAAATCCCCACTCTTCATGGAGAAATGTTCCTATGAAATCCTATTCAAATGGTGAGATCCCTATGAAATCCTATGAAATCCCTATGAAATCCTATGAAATCCACCATGAAAAACGGGAAAAAACCCACCATCCCATTGTGGCCAGACATTTTTTCCAGACACCGCCAGCACGACGCCCCGAAGGCCACTGCAGGTGGCCGCCATGGTGGAGCCCAGATTGGTCTTGATGTGCAGCACCTGAGGTGAAATGGTGAAATCTCCAGTGGAATCCAGTGGAAAATCTGGAAAAATCTGGAAAAATCCTATGAAAATCCATGAAGAATCTATGAAAAGTTGGATCGTCTTCCTTGGAAAAAAAATATGTGTTGAAAGTGGTTTTCTTGGGAAAAACATCTGGATAATGATTGAAATGGAATGTATATAATGGGATTTTGAGCGGATACAGGCTGTTGCTATGTTGGATGAAGTTCTATATCAAAAGGAAAATTGGGAAACAACTAGTGACCATGGTCAAGGGTGAATGAACCATAAACCCAGAAACAATGACGGTGCTTATGTGGGGGTAGTTTGTATAGATACTCCTGGTAGGTCTAAATAGTGAACACCAACCTGGCTGCTGGTATCCTCTGGAAATCAAACATGGCTGACTGGGAAATCCTATAAAATACCTCTATAAATAATCTGAAAAAAACATCTGTAAAACGGGGGTTGCTCATTGGTAGGTGGGACTCCCAAAAAGATATATCTTTTCCGAACAGATTTTGGGTGATTGCCAATTGCCAAACGTTTTTTTTGGGGCATGTCCAAATGTTGAGACATGACTTGACACATGTGACACGACCATTTTTCACACTACCACATTACCAAAATGATCGGGGAAATTTCACCACATTGCACTACCAATGTTTGGGAAATGACTGGATAATCTCATACCAAGCCATCGTGTCCGGTGTCCGAAATGGATCATGGAATCCCCGGCCCAAAAAAGGCAAGAACTCATCACCCTTGAAATAAGGCAATTGTGGGGTGATGAGTTCTTGATGATTCCCAAATTTTACCCATCACTTAGGGTGTCATGGTGAGGTCCTTCTACTTCACTCAGATGGGATGGGATGCTCCAAAAAAATGGCCATCTCAATCTGCCAGTCCCATGACTCATGGCCTTAATAGGGGGGGAAAAATGCTGCAACAGAAAGATGACAGATGGGGAGAGTTCATCAGCTGTTTTTCCTAAAATAACCAGCAACAAATCGGGGTACGACCAACACAAAATTGAACGAAATGGGGATGCTATCAAATATCATCATGGAAACATTACGAAAAAGCTGTATCATGTGACCCACCAGAACGGATATCTTAGAAATAAGTTTTGGAAACAAAATGATGCATGGTGCTTTTGTTTGTCCCTCGGCTTGCCTTGCCAATCGAAATGAAGGCACCTCAACATCCGGTTCCTGGAGAAACCCGTGGCCCTCACCGAACATTCGTATTTTCCCGTGGCCCTGTCACATTTCGCTGAGGGCACAATAAAACTCACCACGGTCACGGCATAGAAACCTTCGCAGGTGCAAAATGGGATAATGTGACAAATTCAACCCCATGTAACCTGGACATGGCTTTCAATAGCCTTCAAACGGAAAATCTTGGTGAATGGGATATGGCACATGGTCCATTGTTGTGTTTACGATATTGCAAGAAAAGGCTGCTTCAGAAATCACCCACTGGTCCATCAAACACAGATGCATGGTCTTCCAAAACTCACTTCGGGCCAGAAAAAACGAAGGAAACCATGATATGTGGTTGCCCATATGTGGGTTTCCCCAATGCAAAGAAAGGGCCCCGTAGATCTCATGACTTTGGCAGGGATGATAGCAATTAACCTTCTCTTGGGCACGATAACCATCATCCCCGGCGACATCCTTCTGAGGTCGCTATAGATCTATAGTATGTACATAACCCACTTAGCAGAAAATATGGGATAGTATTGGATAACGTATAGCCATGGATTACAGCCCAGTTATTTACGGATTCCCCTGGTTATTTAGGGCGTTTATTGTCCGCCTACCATTCCTGCCATGTCTTGCACCTGAATCCACAAAGGAGTCCAAGTTTGGCGCGACTCCGGCAGGCAGCAAGAAAGGCAATCCTCGGCCCGGTGGGCCCGTTGGCCCGGTGGGCCTTCAAGTTCCAAGTCATTTTGAAACGATTAGCATTTTTGCTTCTTCAACACTACTGATTTTGTTTCTGGTTTCAACCCATCCGGTCCCATCCGATTTGTTTTTGTCACTTGGGGATCATTCTCCCAAATACGGCTGAAAACTAAGAATTTAGGTGTCCCTCAACTGGGTGGTCTCAATGTGATTCTAACCATTTGGTAATTGATTTTTCCATTCTTACGGTGTTAGATGTGTTAGACATACCTGTATTGCCGCGGTTCAGCCACCGATATTCCAACGCCAGGGGAAGTCCATCCCAGGAAAGGACTCATGGTTCCATTCGGATGTCACCGAAAGGAACAAAGGAACCGGTTCCCGGTTCCAAGCCTTTTACATGTTGAGCAATTGAGAAAAATCAGAAAACAGAGAAATATGTCGCCATCAAAAACAGTACGAGTCCGGTAGCATCCCAGTTACTGGGACCCCTCCGTTTCGACGTTTCGGTTAGATCATCCCAGTTTCGTTATTTTTGTACCCATGATTCGGTGCGAAAAATGATCGCTCAGAAAATGGCCCGACCATCGACCCCTGAAGTATCGTTGTCTCGTATATGTTTCATGATGTTGTTGTATTTATATTGTATCATAATATCATAAGTTAAAAAGATTGAGGAGATATACCTGTCATGTATATACTATCTGACACAATATAATGTTATACCATGTCATATTGTATCATGCTGTATGGTATTACCACAGTTGGGTCCATATCAAAATGATTAATATCATCATCGTCATCATTATTAGCATCATTATAGTCATCGTTGCCATCATTATCAGATCATTATCAGATCACTATCATCATTGCATGTTTTTTAATCATCATTGTATATTATTATACATAGTATGCATATACATATATAACATATATATATATATCACTTATGTCATGTACAGTACATTCTCCTCAGTTCATCACAGGACACCCCAAGTTCCTTTCCGCGCCAAAGCTCCACAGATCACCAGCGAGAAGGCTGAGCGCGCCGCCAGTTCCGCACACTCCGCGAAGCGTGGGTTGTGGTCCTTGGTGGGTAAATGTCCATGATGTATACATTATATTCTTTTGTATATATATATATATGTCATTTATTTACATTTATATGAATTTGTGTATATTTATATATATATATATTCTGCGTGTGTGTGTGTGTGTTGTATATTATCAACAAAACAAAACAATAAAAACACTACCTTGCTTTTGCCACCTTGATCCACTGACTCGAAATTCGAAACATGATGTCTTGTGAAGACCCGTGTCTGTTCACCTGATATGGTACACACGACTCGACATGTACATTTTGTCAGGTTCTTCACTTCATCACAGAAAATGCCCTACTTGCTTCCAACTCCGCGTTAGGATCTCCACTTAAGAAAGAACATGTTTAGACACATGCCAGTTTAACAGCCTTAGATTGTGGACATATTTAGTCCATCCCAACTTGATAGCCGAATGTCCTAAATTGCTGTGGATGAACCTCCAATCTCTTTGTGCAAAATCATAATGTTTGCTGCAGTACCACGTCTTTCCCAAGAATTTCACATATTTCCTATCATGCGTGTTTGTTCTGTCCTAATCTCCCTCGTTAAAATAATATGTCCATGCTGAGCAACGAAACAATGAAGGGATTTCAGCAGCTACAACCAAAAAATATTTGCATGTGTTCATAAGCTTGATATTAAACTCATCTATGTTCCACTATTGCAGCTAGAGTAACCCACAGGAACCCACACCTTTCACTGTTTTCCAGGAACAAGAAAACTATCCAACTGTCCAACCTCCGCCACATTGCGGCCGAGTGTCAAAGAGAAGACACCTGGCACATTGCAGCTATTCGTATTTCCCAGCCGAGTATTTGTGCCTTAATCATGTATGCTTGGAAAATCCTATTTTATTCCATTCATATCAGGGGTGAGAAACAGTGTGCTGTGCTGGGGGAGAAGGTTCTGAGGTCATGATCTAGTTTGGAGATCCGCAGAGCACCATGTGACATCTGCAAGTACACAGACGTCGCCCAAATCAGATGTGTTTGAATAGATTTATCCATCCTATCCTACCCCCAAGAAAGAGGTTGAATCGTAATGAAATGTGTATGCAATTTACTCAAATCCCATTCAATCCCATTGAAATCCTACATATATATATATATATATGAATTGAAATCTATATAAATTTGAAATCCAATCTTAAGAAATATATATATATCCCGTATATATCTTAAAATCCCATTAAAATCCCGTATTTAATCTCTTTCAAAGCCAGCGCCATGACGCAGCGAACCTGCGCACGTAGGGGCGACAGCAGCACTCCGGCCATGCTCGACCTTTCGCGCCTTTCTCCTGTGCAGATGGGAGCGGTGACGCAGTGACTTTGGGGATAGCTTGGATAGATACACTGGGGTAAAACAATGTAAAACATACAAAAAGATGTGGAAAACCCATGGTTTCCGGAAAATGATCTACAAATGCGGGGTTTTCCACATCGATGTTGGTTGAGGGTATGAATTGATATTGCTGATTGACAGGATAAATATGATATCAATGGAATTTAAACAAAAAGGATATTCATGATAAATGATTTATATCCATTGATGATGGATATTGATGGTATGTTGAATATCAACGAATATTAAATGGATATTACTGGCACTATCCAGCTGACATATAGATGTTTAGAGGGGATGGTTAGCATAAAGATATTGATATCATTGTGTGTATGTATGTATGTATGTATGTATGTATGTATGTATGTATGTATGTATGTATGTATGTATGTATGTATGTATGTATGTATGTATGTATGTATGTATGTATGTATGTATGTATGTATGTATGTTGTATGTATGTATGTATGTATGTATGTATGTATGTATGTATGTATGTATGTATGTATGTATGTATGTATGTATGTATGTATGTATGTATGTATGTATGTATGTATGTATGTATTATGTGTATGTATGTAATGTATGTATGTTGGTGTGTATGTCTGTATGTCTGTAGTGTGTGTATGTATGTATGATGTAATGTATGTAATTTATGTATTGTGTGTATGTATGTATGGTATGTGTGAATGAAGTATGTAATGTATGTAATGTGTGTGTATGTAATGGTAGGCCTGTAATGTGGTGTGTATGTATGTATGTATGTTTGTAATGTAAATGGTAATGTAATGTATGGTAATGTAATGTATGGTAATGTAATGTAATGTAATGTAATGTAATGTATGTATGTATGTATATGCATGCATGTATGCATGTATGCATGTATGCATGTATGCATGTATGCATGTATGCAATGCATGTATGCATGTATGCATGCATGTATGTATGGATGTATACATATATCCCAACACTAATGGAATATGGATATAAAACTATACAAGCATAATATACCATCCAAAATGCCTGTGTTGAACAGCAAGATGGGTGTGGTCCAGTTGGGTATCCTTTAAAATCAGGGTCAGCACTACAAGGTGACCAAAATCTGTGGTTCCCGGGGCCATAAATTCTGATCCAAACGGAATCTGCCAACGTCTCAACAGGCTTCCCTGCAACCCTAATGCCAACAGAAAATAGTAAGACGCATGCAATTTTGATCAATTTTGGGTGTCTATTTTTCCATTTTAAAAAAAATTAGTCATTTTAGTCACCCAGACGGTCCAAGATGGCACGCAACCACCTCTCTCTCCCCACTAGGCCCCGCTCGGCCTGGCGCACCAGCGGATAGCTCTCGTCGCCCGGGCTCACCTGCCGGCCTACCCGGCCTTCCGCCGGGATCATCACCTTGGACCCAATGGCTTTGCATCCCCCAATGGGTTTGCATATTTGGATCGTGAAAATTACCATTTATATATTATATTATATTATATATATATAGAATACATGACTCATACTTCAGCAACAAAGTGAAAACTGAGGCTATAAGTTTGTGGCATGAAGATGTACTGAGATATCACCAACACCTGGTGATACAATTGGGGATATCCCTAAGCTGGGTGGATGATATCATTGAATTTTTGGTCGTGTAACAGAGTTACTGGGAGGTTTCCACCATACTAACATGGGGATATTAGTGGATTCTAGTAACATGAGTGAAATATTCATGGGTGTACACTTGGATAATTCAAAGTCTTAGTTCATTTATGAAGATTCATGATAGCCTGCTGTCTGGTTTTGAATTTGGGTTTAGAACTACAGTAAATGCAAGAATTTAACATTTATAGTTTAGATCACTTTATTGAACGGTTCACCCATGGATGGAATGGGGTGCCATCTGTTTTACGAGTGGAATGGTGCTTGGATGACTATCCCAGCTACTGAGATTCCAAATAATAGATGGGATAATTCTCTTAGGGGATTTCCTAGCTGGCAAAATGGAAAAATGTCACTGCCCAAAATGCTGGGTTGTAGGGGGTGTGATTAAAATCTGGTTTTACCAACTTCTAAAATTCAGCGCATTCACCACAAAAATGTTCGGGTATAATGATCAGCTGGATGATATTGAAGAGAATAGGGCCATCAAGGATAATGTTCCTCTTCGGTGTATTTTCCACGAATATCCTAGGAGCGAGGGGTTCCATGCCAACAACGAACCATGAATCCAACCTCGCAAAAATGATCAAGTTGTGACGTCCAATCAAGAAAATTGTCCTCCACTGGCATGGATAAGTAGAATCACCTGAGTTGAAGAAATACACTGGGAAATTGTGACCGTGTATAACTGTTAGTGATCTGTGATCCTGCCCATAGGTTCTTGTGATCCCCAACACGAGAGAACGTTAAATCAACGGTTTTGTATGGTTTTGTTTGGTCTGTCTTTGCTGGGACCACTGCAGATTATGGGTTTGTCAAAAAAAATTAGATCATCATTTGCCAACTAAAATTTCGACTTTTGGGCTGGATCCTCCATTCCTGGGAAAAATCCATATCATCTTGCTATCAACATCATATCCAAATTAGATCCTGAATTCTCCCCCAAATCCCTCAGTATATCCCGTCATTCAATGGTGAAATCCCTGATGTTCATGCCTCAATCCCCGTTTAGATCCCGTGGATGATTCAACTCGTGGCGAGTTAGCCCCAGCCCTTGCATGTTACGATCCCAGTTTTCGGACGGATCCCAGTTTTTCGGTGAAGACCCAAAATGGGTCAAACCACCAATCACTTTTCTTCCCTCAGAAATGTTACATATTTTGCTACTTAAACCCCCAGTTCTGCTGGTCGAATCCCCATGTCTTACGGTTAGTAACGGTTAGACCCAGCTGGGACCCACACCTCCTCCAGATCCCTTCCGCTGCGTCAGCTTGGAACCACGACATCCATGGCATTGGGCGGCGAAGCGATGGGTCGAAGTGGGTCGAAGCGATGGGATCTGTGAAGCCACTTCGTGAAGCTAAGGCTGGAGATCATCTATTATTAGACTATAGAGCTGTATGTATAAATATTTATATATAGTATATATATATATTGTGGGTGTGTATATATATATAATATGGAGGTAAAGTGCTTTGTCTCAAAGTAGCAGGTACCCCACTTCATTGCCATGAAATACTAGGGAAATGGTCTTCTAAACCATGGGATGTATATCCATGAGTACAAACCACCTCTGCACATTCGAGGGGTCGCCAAATCTTTCAGGCATTCCTCTGGCGCATGCCGGTTGGGTGATGGTGGTCTGTGGTTTGATTTTCCTTGGGTCTTTGCGTTCCTCTTGGACCAAAGCAGAAAAAGGCTGCCAGAGAATCCATTTGCATACTCCCAAAGCGATGATTTGGATATGGCTCAAGATTGCGAGTTCAAAGAAACGCAGAATTTTGGTTATACTGTCTGGCAAACTATGCAATTTGGAGGGCCTATTTTGTAACCCATAGCAAATCAAAGTCGAAGTGTCGATGTAGGAAATGAAGGAATCAGAAACGAAAACCCAGTGTGGAATCCCAGGTGAGGACGCTTGCAAAGCGTTTAGCGAATACACCCAAAATTGAATATTGAATAGTTTCTGGAAGTCAAAACTGTGCACGGAGAATGCCCCCGTTCACATTGATTTATGACCAATTTCCCATTACCATCAGGATTTTCCATGATTTTCCATGATTTTCCATAATTTCCCCAGTAAACATGTGGATTTTCCATGTTTTTCCATAAGGAACCTGCAGCCGAGATCACCTCGGTCAGATCATGGGGCACCCCATTGCGTCAGCAAGTTCCCCACATTTGGGGAAACCATGTGTATCCCACATGCTATCCCCGTTCTTGGCTTTATAGAAAGTTTATATCCCTGAATTTGGAGATAATCTACTGCCAACAAAAGTGGCCAATCCATCTGTGGTCTCCTACGGCCATTTGGGGCCCATTTTCGATCCAAAGCCAGACGGTAAGTTTGAAGAGTTTGCGACTGAAACAAATTCAAACAAACTGCCCTCCGGCAATCAAGCGTGGCAATTGGTTGGACAACCATGTCTCAAATGGAAGTTTATAGCTGGAGCTGGGGAAATCATCTATAAATGGGGAATTTTCCAGCCATATTTGAGTACCGGAGCATACAGGCGAAATGGTCCTTGATATAGGGATGGACAGTCCAATATCTTGGATACACCTGCATGGCGCAGCATGGTAAAAGCATTTTTGTCTAACTTCTGGATGCATCCCCATTTTGCAAAACTAGATACCCCAAAATGAAGCCCATGATCCATGGTGATAACATTCAAACTAGTCATATATCCCAGCCCTAGCAACAGCTGGCCAGCTGGCCTTATCATCTTCCGCCGAAGTGCCTCAGGTAGAAAACTGCCCTGGGGTAAACTACTGAAGATAGAAAGCAGGCGATACACCCGACTGAAAATTACATTGCTCGACACAACCAGAACCTTGCTTGACCCGACTGAAACCTTTGTTTCTCGTGTTTCTCAACCCGATTGAACTTCGGTTTCCTGACCCAGCTATATTTATGAATGGCATCCTGCAGCAGCACCACCACGCTTGCTCCAAAACGCACATATCCAACTCATCCTCTACTTGAAGTAAGAGCCCCAGTAGCTGCGCTATTTGGGGAACAAGGACATGTGTTACAAATTGCCATAGAATATATTATATATATACATATACGTATGCTTATCTGTGTTAATCTACTGGAAAGTAAATCAACTGGGTTCATGGTGTCTCAAAAGAAAATGTGTTCTACTATTTGTTTGCTGGAAAGTGTCAACTCAGTGATTTCTGCGGACCACATTTCCAGTGGTTTTCACCAAAGCACCAACTACCCAATTATTCTGAGGTACCTGGTCTTTTACATTTAGTAATTTAGTAGGAATATTGACTATTCCTGGTTCTGTAAATCCTCCAATGTCTATGGCCGTTTGAATGCTCAAGATTTAGTCTGACATGGTCCAGTGGGAAAAAAGACACAAAGGAGGTGTTAAAAAAAGGACTGTCAAACAGCGGCAGCGTTTTTTGAAAGGTTGAAAACGGGTAATGCAAAAATCTGCCCAAAAGAATATGCTGATCTCGAAGCTGTTGCATCTGGTTAGAGGCACCACCGTATCCAATGGAAAAATAAATAAAATGCCTGAGGGCGTACGCTGCTTTCAGACATGCTACCAAATCAGCACCACTTACCAATCTAATAGTGCGACATGGAAAAGCCATCAGACATGATCATTTTCCTAGGCAAACCATGGAATTGTGCCCCCAAGCTGCCCCACACATCGTTGAAAGGATCTGCACTCCACCGCTCCACCGTCCCGAAATACCACAAGCCTGGCCACGGGGATGGATGGACTCTCTGCTTGGAAACCATCAAAATTGGACCCTCAAAACCATCAAAAATAGTGGTTTGACCATCAAAAATGTGGATTCAACCAGCAGAAATTGTGATCCTACTGTGAGAAATTGTGATTTCACAATCCAAAATTGTGTATGTAATCCCACCAAAACGGAGCTTTAACCACTGAGTCGTGAATATAATCATATAAAATTGGAATATCTTTTTGGGTGTGGTATCATATCAGCGGGTCTATCCGTAGATACAGGATATCATGGGACATAATGGGGATCTCATGAGATATTTCATATGACCACCGACATTATTTTTTTTTTCATTCTGCAGCTGTTGGGTCTGTTAGCCCGCGCTGACATGCATGTTCTGGCATCAGACTACCTTTGTGGTTGGTAGTCAGGCAAAAAATTGCTGACAAAATTGGTGTCCGAAAGGTGCGTCACCAAAGTCAGCCAGTGAATGTCCCGCTCTCCGAGCTGGGACAGGGGCTGTACAGCAAGGCCCTCCACACGTCGCCTCCTGGCCAGTCCTTGGAACAAAGTCGTTACCAAGGCTTTACATAGCCCTTCCGGATACTCTTTGGCACAGGCGGTTCTGAATTGCCCTGTCACATCATCACGGCCGCTCAGATGCTGATCAGGTTTCGTGAGGCCCGGTAGAGCTTGTCCATGAAGAGTCGCTGCCGATGGCGGTAAGCCCATGACTCGAATTAGGGTCGGCTTCACTGCTTTGGCGCCATACTTCCACTGCTGGATGTGGATCCGCTGATGGCCAGGGGCAGCACGACATAGTCGGTGTTGAATGGGAGTCCGCCAAACGCTTGCATAGTCCTGACACTCGGGAATGTCAGGATGCTCCAACATGGAGGCACCACCGTTCAAGACCACCGTGATTTCGATCTTCAGGTTGGATAACATCAAAGCACTTCCAGTCGCCAGTTGATGAAGCTCTTGATGGGTGAGGTATTCGAGCCCCCAAGCGCGTTGAGCCGATCTGAGAGGTCGCGGCCAACGTTCATGGGAACCTGGTGGTGGCTGGAGATTGCGAGCTGCGCTCCATGTCTCGCAGGGCGGGCCAGATAAATTGCCCGCAACCAAACCTGCTCGTGCAATTCGATGCAGCGATTCCAGCCCAGGTCCATGCAACAGGTCGCAGTGTTCACCACCCACAGCGGTATCAATCGACAGCATAAGGACCTCGAAATCAGGAAAGTACTGTCCTATCAGCCGCTTCGCCCAATAGTGGCAGTCTCCTTCGCGACGACGTCCAGAGAACAGGTGAAAGACAAGCAACGCCTTCCTCCCATCTGGAAGCTCACAAACTGGAACACCTTGTTGTTTGGGCCAATATAGAACCTCAGGGTCAACAACCTGGCCTAGAAGAGCATGACTGTGGTCATAGGCATTACGCGTGGATTCCAGCGGTTGATGCGCTCGTTGATCACTTGTCGAATGTGGAACTGCTGGTAGCGGAGCTTCCGGTGGAGCAGCCCGATGAAGTTGCTCCAGTCGATCAACCAACCTCGCAACAGGGAGCTCATAAAGCAAGTCCAAATACTGAGTCTCGATGAACATCTTCTGATCGACATCCTCGATCTCATCCAACAGGTCATAGAGTGCAGTCCTTCCCCAGAGGGCAAACGCCCATATGGCCTGTGAATGTTGGACAGGATCCGTGTTGTAGAGCTCCACAATCTCGCACCATCGCCAAGACAAATCTTGCTGGTCGTCAGCACACCACTGCCGAGTAGTGTCGGTGACAGCCTCCAGAACGGCATGGCAGAGGGTCTCGGACAGATCCTCTGGAAAACCCTCTTGTTTCCATTCTTGCTGCCAAACCTCCCATGCACGGGCGTGGTCGCGACTCCATTTGGTTGTGACATGAAGCTGACGAGGTCCCGCAGCAACTGTGCAAGGGAGACGGTATTGTCCCTGTAATGGCTCGGGAATGACAACACGTTCTGGTTCAGACAACGGGTCTAAGTGCCTCTGGACCCACCAAAAGCAGCCATCAGCTTTGCGTTTGGAGTAGCGAAGGTGCTGCTGAAGCCTCTGTGCTGTCCAAAAACACTTGCGACAACATTCGCATACACCAGAATAGACAAAGCGCCGCTCTTCCGAAATGTGTCCATGTTGCTTCCATTGATGTGCATTCAATCCCTGGATGGTAGAGAATGCGCGAGAGCAGCGTGAGCATGGGAAGAGATCAGGAAGCGGTTCCTGCAGCATTGGTGCTTGATCAAAGTCAACTCCGTGTTGTTGACATAGGGCATGGATGTCACGGTGCATCCGTGCAACCTGGTAGATGGTCTCCTCCTGGGTCAGGAATCGAGCCACTGCACGCCGAATCTGATTGGGCATTGTTGTGTCAGCTTGACTTGTCCATGTCAGAATGGCTTCACAAGTCCATTCTTGGTCTTTGAGATCAAGAATCATAGTACCCAACCATTGAAGACCTTGGCGCACTGCCTCAAGCCAGGAAGTTCTGCAAAACTCATCTTCTGCTGTAATGCTCTCCCACACTACCTGCGGCCCATGTCTTTGCAACTGCAATAGGAACAAGAGCCGATGTTTGGC